CCCTACACCCTAAGCCCTAAACCTCCTCAACTAGAAACTTGCAGTGTCCTTGCTCTCGACCTGAACCCAAAACCCAGGGATCCTTGTACCTAAATAACCTAACTGAACAATTGGGGTTTAGGGGTTTAGGGGTTNNAGGGTTTAGGGTTTAGGGAAAGTAGGGTCCCTTTTAGGGTTCTTTTAATAAGGGTGCCGTACAAAACTGGGGACCTAAAAAGGGACCCTAATGTAGAGAACTACCCAATTGGTTACTGGGTTTAGGGGATTACATGACAGCTAAACCCTAAGCCCCATAAACCCTAAACCCTAGACGCCAACCTAAACCCTAAACCATAACCCTGAACCCTAAACCAGCTAATAACCGGAGCCCTAGCTGAAGGGAGAAGATGCCAAACGATCTCACCTCGCCCGGAGGCATTGCGACGCCAACCAGACCTCCAAAGACTGGTTTACGTGTTGGGATTTATGGTTTAGGATATAAGGTTTTGGGGTTTTGGGTTCAGGGTTTTTGGGGTTTTAGGGTTTGGGGTTTAGGGTTTAGTTTGGATTTAAGGTCTCGCGGTTGGGAATGTAGCTTATCCCTAAGGCCTAAATTCCTAACTCCCAAACCATAGACCCAAAACCCTTTAGTGGAAGCCAGAAAGTTGGAACATTAGTATCCTCATGCCCTTAAGGTAAAGTATAAGGGATCCTCGCACTAATTCTTCTAAACTCATGTTCCATCTTTCTGGTGTTCACTGTAAACACTGAAGCCCAACAAAACCTTGAAAAAGGTTGCACAACCTTTGTCGACATGGAGTTGGCCCAGTTCCAAAACGACGTGGAAACCCTAAACCCTGAACAGTTCTGGAGGGACTAGGGGTTATATTATCATATACAATGTATTTTAAATAATAATGCTAATAATCCAAAATGCTTGAAATGTCGGATTGCATGCAATATGGAGCCCAGTAAGAGTCGAGAAGGCGAAGCTGCAACCTGTTGCAGCAAACATTCGTGCTCCTTCACCCGGGTACTTTAGCCCTGAGCGTGGGGGCGACAATAAGAAAAAATGATAATAGCAACAGTACTGACAATACTGCTGATAGTTCATGATTATAGTAATAGTAACAATAATAATCATTAGTAATAACGATAACAAGAACCATGCAACCAGAGCCTTCATACCAACATAGGAAGCCGGCCACCAGTTGTCAGACAGGCTGTTGCAACCAAACCCTAGCCGGACACCCTACAATAAACCCTGACGCGGCAATGTGTGCAGACAAAGACATACAAGTCAAACCGAAGCTCAAATGCCTTAAGGATTGTGTTGCCGAATTACGAGTCTTCATTCGACTTCCCTCACCGAGCATCTTTCTAGCCTTGGCGCAAGTCTCCAGGCATCGGAAGCCTCAGTGTTGTTGGTTAGGATTAGCTTTGTGTGCCTACCTCAGGGTGCCTCTTGTGCTGAAACTGCTGGCAATTGCTTCTAGTTGTTCCGGCCTCAGCCGAACTAGAAGATCAGTGGACAGCAAAGCTCAAACTGCATAGAAACTCATGAAGGAGAACAAGAACAGCAAATAAGCTCACAACCGCAGCAGTGTCATCAATATCGCATCGTTGCTAGACGGTCATCATTGGCATCCTAATCACCATGAAACTCCTGATGGGTCTTGTGCTCAAGAACATGACAATGAAATTGCTGGTGATCAGCCGCATACCGCTCGAATCTAAATACCATATTCACGATCATGGCAATGGTCAGCTTCATCTTCGATACCATCAAGCCTAGTCATCGTCGTCGCCTCGGCAGCGCTGGTTCCACTATCACCGTCATGAGGATGTCTCGTCACAATGGTCATCATCGCCATCGTTACCATCATCATCGCCATGACCATCATCATCATCATAATCGCCATCATCCTCACCATCACCCTCATCACAATCACCATGACCATCGCCATCATCATCAACAACATCGCAATCATCTTCATCATCATCATCATCATCACCACAACCATCATCGTCATCATCAACGTCCTCATCATCACGACAACATCATTATCAGCAGCAGCAGCAGCAGCAGCAGCAGCAGCAGCAGCTTCACCGCCACCACCACCACCACCACCACCAGCAGCACCAGCACCAGCACCAGCACCAGCACCAGCACCAGCACCGGGCACCGGCACCGGCACCGGCACCGGCACCGGCACCAGCACCACCATCACCACCATCGCACCCATGACGACCGTGACCGTGGCCACTGCTGTGCTTTGGAAAACATTAACCTTCTGCAAGTTAATGTCAAATATGCTAGCTAACCATAGCAAAGCTACAGCCAACATCAACTCGTCTTCATCTTAGTCATCGTCACCTTCGCCTCCCTTAACACCATCATGATTTCCATGACCTTTGCCATCACCACCATCATCATCAGCAGCAGCGCCGCCAGCATCGTCGTCTTCGCCATCACCTTTACAGTACTGCTGCCTCCACCTGACTATACGACTGTGTGCGTAAATCTCTCTCTCTCTCTCCATCTAACATGATATATCTATATATATATACATATATATATATATAATATGTATATACGTAATATAGAAATGCATACACATGTGTATGTAGGCGCATACATACATATGTATATATTAGACATAGACACCATCACAACAAAACCCGCAGTATAGCTCCACAGCATCGGCGGTTCCAGCAGAAGCAGAACAGCAACTACAACAACTCATGTTTCCAGCTCCCACGGAAGGCCAACACCACAAGGTTCTTTGTCATTCACTCCTGAATCTCCCACCCTACACCACGGTCTGTTCAAACCCAGTACCCTCCGAGAATAGCTGCAAAGACGTGTCTCGTCACCGAGGTCTCGGCAAAGAACTCGGATCGAATGCCGGTCCGTAGGCATTCTGCGGTGGCGGAGTTTCATTCACTCTCCCTCACTCTCTCTCACAATCTCTGCTTCCGCTAGAACACCTGGAGCCGGGGAATCTTCAGGGCTTAAGAGATCCAACGAGAAGACGCTACTCACAGTCATGGTCCTTCTGCTATGTTAGCTAGCGATGCTATTGAAAGGCACACTGGGGACTGTCACTTGCCTGAACAGAAATCACCGACATATACATATGTCTATATATTTACTGATTTTGCCTTCA